CCACATCGTCGAAAGCCAAACTGGAGCAAGCCCATCCGGGACTGCTATGACGACTCGATCGAAGGCATCAGTAATTGTTTGAAACACTTGACAATGCTGGAGGTGATGATCACCGGACGAAAGTCCACCAACTCAGAAGCACCCGGTTTCTTTGGGAGTGTCATCACACCGGAAATTGCTATCTTGCCGGAAGCTGCCTCCATTGCACGCGGGCACTGAAAATGTCCATTAGGACTGGTCCCAATTGTTCTGCACAGTGCCTCCATACTGCGGGTTAAACCCCGTGTGGGCTTTCGGATGATTGTTGAGACGAAATATATTTTTAGACGATACTTGATGAGAGAATATTAAAACATTGTTAATAATAATCATTATCATCGAACGGCATTGTTATCATGATCACGATAATCATCATTGTCATGTTGTTTTCATCCGATTTTACAACTGAAAGTCCTCCGATCATTTGCCACTGAAAGTCAGTGAATAACTCATTCGTTTTGAAGTGTGTTCTTGGAAGCTGCTGTAATATATGTGTTTGGTCTATTTAATATTCTGTACGTGTAATGTATGTAAGAAACATGTTCTAACTGAAGGATTGTTCTGCCGCTAAGTATCGAGGATCCGAAATCGTGGCCAGATATGTCGACAAATACGTTCGAGACAAATCCAGTGTTCTCGTCGACATGTGTGGAGGAACCGGTCTTGGCGCTGAAAAGGTAAATGGAACATTGCAACTGTCTCGCCGTAAGAATTGATAACTCGGGAAATCTTCCGCTGTTTTAATGTGCATATTTCCTTAATGAACTGAGAAAGTTTGAAATAATGGTCGTGTGTAAAGAACGAACTATTTTGCTGATCGGCATGACACAGACGCTAAATTGATAACTTCTTACAGCTGTTTATTGTAAGTTTCAATAAAATCGTATTCGACATGATGGTCTAAGTATTTCGCAGGTGGCGCATTCTCATCCAAAAGGAGGTCTGTGAAACGCCCTGTAGCCAAAGTGGTGCTGTTCCGTGAGTGACAGAAGGAAAGAATGAAAGAAAGCAATGAATGAGAGGTCGAACGAATGGACGAATGAATGAATGAGAAACGAAAGAATGGAAGGCCACTCGTTGAATGGACTTTTCAGAAATTTCTGTTGTTAGCAAAGGAAAGCAAATTTTTAATTGGAAAGAACATTATTACCTGCATAATCGATTACTGGAATAGAATTTTCTACTTGATGTGCATGGTATTTAGCTGAATTAACAAACGAGTTAGCGAATGGATGAGTCAAGCGAATGAACAAGTAAATGAGCGAAATAACGAAAGACTGAAACAATGAATGAAGGCTTACTGCTTGGATGGAATTGCTGAAAAATTCAATTTTGGTACGAGAGCTTAATGGAGAATTGAAAATCTAAACGAATATGCATTGAACACAACCTGTGACTTAACTGTTCTTCATCTCACTGGCACACAGTAATGAATGGCAAATTTAAAGGAGAGCCTAATGTTCTATATGTTACATATGCAGGTCGTTCTTCTGATGGATTACATAAGTTATTAAACAAATGAGTGAGTAATCGATAAATGGATGGATATATCTATGAATGACTGAATAAATCACTGAGTGAATAAATGAATCAATGTTTGAATGCAAAACCAACGATTGTTGATTTTAAGAATAATTGATAGAATGCGTAGCCGAACTGATGAATGAATGAATAAGTGAAATAATGAATCAGTTAATGAACTAATATTTTGCGGTTTGAAAAGAATTTCTAACGAATGCCACTGTCGAAATTATATGACATAAACTTGCTGACAAGTTTGCATCACACTAGTAAAGAATCATATTTGCGTTGTGCTGCTACCATTCTAACTTTCACTTTAAATTCACTATGGGAATATATGCTTGACATATATTGTATTTATGTTGGATCCGTTCAATTGAAATCAGCTTTTTATCGTATATGCAGTCAAGTCAGTATCCTATGAAGCAGAATCATGTTCCAAATTGCAGTCACAATGATCAAAATGAGAAATATGTGCCTCTACCTCTCTTAACTGATCCGGTGGAGGGCAGTGCTTCCGCCCCCACTCGGAATTTGACCAGAGCTGCATCATTTCTATACTACCGTACGCCGCCCAATACACTTTGGTACTTCAAAGTTCAGCAATATACACCATTGTCGTGTGAGCCGTATGGTTGCAAAGACCCATGGCCTTGGTTACCATGATGTAATGCTGATTCTCGATAATGCTATTTATTCTTTTACTACAGCTTTGGTTTTTCGTTCGGCTGAATAGAGAAAAAACAACCGTTCAATGGTTCTTCAGATAGTTTACGCTTTTATGGACATAAACCAAAGTCGCCAACATGTGCGGCAAGGCCTTCTTGTGTTGTTAGTTCCCAAACCTTTATTTGTTTCTCTTGTCGATTTTTGATGAACTCGTTGCATTGCACGAGGACTTATTGAAAAGCAGGCAAGGTTACACCTCCGTCAGAGCTAATAAATTTGAGTATGAATTATAAAATAGTTAGGAGTAGCATCGAAAAGTTGCAAAACAGCTAGAAGAGGGTTGATTACCATAATTTGCTTAGTGGAACTTCATAAGTCTAGGCCATTTTGCTGTTCGATTTTGATTTTGCTTTGATTACAAACACAAAAAATAGCCGAAAACCTCAGTCGATGACTTTAACAACGAGAAATCCACATAACGATGCAAATGAAAGGGAAAAACTAGGAAAGTTGTAGCATTGCAATGTCGGTCTTCTTTACACTTTCATGATGGGGCCGTTTCTGGCGACCTGTTTTGGGCTTTTAGACTTTCGGCGAAGTTAATGGTGGGGCGGTTAATCCTACAGTCAGCCAGAAATGCATATTTTAAAGGCATCTTCAACAGCAGCTCTGTGGCAAGCATGGTGTTTAGCCTCATGTTTCCTTCCAACAAAATGGTACTCATCTACCAACATCAGAAGAAATAAAGACCAGTGAACCGGCCGGGGATACCTGGGACCCAGTGGCTCTGAGTTTGACCCTGTTACGACTAAGCAACCCCGGTCAAATGCAAATGAACACAACAATGTTCTGCGTAACACTTGTTTGAATTTGACTCTTCGATGCCAAATACTGACTCTATCCAAAGTTGTAATGACTTTGCACATAGGAAATGCTTTCATTCCTGTTTCCATGTGTTTGCTGCTTGTGAACAATCAGGTATAAAATCATAAAACTGATTGAGGATAGTTAGTAGAACCTTTTTTCTCGGTTGTGGATATTGTATTGGCAAGTTCGATTCAAAATTCATACACCGTATTTGGTGCAGTCCAAAATCAACAACTCATTTAACTAGGCACGTTATACCCCACCGTTTGTAGCTGAGGTATCAAATTGTGTATGAAGCTCTTCACGATGTGGTGTCGTGTTAATATTTCCATTCCCCCTGTTCGGCAGATCGTCTGAGACACAGAAGCGATATTGAAAGTTGAATTTACGACGTGTTTAGTTGGGATACACCTCCTAGCACCATTCGGTAGACAACAAACATATCGCTTATATAATGAAAATAGGAAATAACACGTCTTAAGAAAAACAGGCTTTCATTGAACCAAGAGATATCAGATTTGGCTAGCAGCATACGGCCGCAAACGACTCTGCTCCTTGGAAGATATGTGGATCGAGCTCAAGTCGAACTCATAAAAGTTGATGAAGCAACGGGAACGGGAAATGCACGAGACAGAATATTGTGGCAAAGTAGTCTTGAAGGCCTTCTTTCAGCATCGGATCGAAAGCGCCTTTGAGTATCATAGCCTCATATTTGTTATTTGCGTAATGATATTGTGGAAATCGAACGAAACGCGTTGTAAACCTAACGCGACATTGGTTTTGTGAATTGAAAAAAACCACGCATCTAAGGGAAGAGTGGAATGACTGCCGCGTGTATATAAGATGTGAATGACGTTGATGAACAATGTAGAAAACAGCTCTTGTTTATTTAAAAATTAGCGTTCCTTTAGTTTTGTCCATTGTAATATGATACTCGTTGTTCAGGTAAGAGAATACGGCTTTACGACAATTGACTACCTTGACGGCAGCACCGGAATGGCACGGATTGCGAAGAGCAAGAATCTTTACAATACGTACTACCAAGACTATCTCCTTTCGCACAAACAGACTTCGTTGAAATCTGGTAAGGAAGAGTAAGCGAGGTATTTACTTTAGTACATCCGTTTTTATTAACTTCTCAATTGAGCTGCTGCAATGGAACCTCATTTGGCTCTACGCAATATGAATATTGAGCTAACCGCCCACGCCAAAGCATTTCGATCTGAAGAGAGAGTCGTATTTTTTTTAATTAACAATTTTCTCGTCAGTTCTCTAGAAAAATTTGGAGTGGAATGATCAAGGGCAATAAAGGATACGTTGGCAAGTGAGCTGCCTCGATTCTAAATATAGAGATCACATTTTTTATGTGGTTCAACCAAGTCTACGTTAGAAGAATGATTTTCACGAAGGATTCAGATCGTGAGATCATACGGTAGGCGGCTAAGGGGCAGATTAAGGTCTAATGGACCGGTGACACCAGCTACTGCAGGTGATTAATGGGGTTCAAAATCAATAAATAAACAACTGTTATTTCTCTTGATAATGGAGTTTCCAAACCGTAATGATACAGAAACCAGTTAATCTACAGATTGCAAATCTGAACGCCACTGGCAAGCGGTTGAAATGGCATGATGTCTGGTGTGGTTATTCAATATTTTACAGGAGCTACATTATACTGTCTTGTACACAGGATTCAAACGGTGGCTCGATTAATCAGCATATGGTGCAGTTCTTCAAATTTCAACTGCACAGAGTAAAATCACAACGCTTCATCAACGAAACAAACAATAAATAACGGGTTTTAAAAATCAGTGAAAGAATGTATACATGAATGAACAAGTTTTGTATTTGGTTCTCAAATTGGTGATCCTATAGAAACAGCACGCCAATGTACACAACGTTCAACTATGGCCCATTTGACCCGTTAATTCTCACTCCATCAGCGCCACTGAGTAACCGACAACCCCTTCAAAACAAGTTATGTGTCATTCATTCCGTACCATTTACTTAATATATTCTACAGTATGCCAATTTAGAAACGTACGATTGTGTATTCTGCATCGGATCGTTTCTGCCTGGCCACCTGAAGCCTGAAGTGTGCATTGAATTCGCCCGAGTGCTGAAGAAAGGTATGATTACCTTAGAAAATAATTGCTTAAATTTTGCTTCATTGTTAAATTAAACAATGCCTCGGAAACATGAGGACTGCAGCAGCTTCGTGTAAAAAACACATCGAAAAGACTGTCACCCAGCTTCATTGCCGTATCTGCTTCATCGGTCGCATGACAGTCTCTTGGAAAAGGCGCTACTAATCGAAACCATGGATAACACTGCGAAGCAGGTCCTTTGGCTAAAAATATTTATGACATGGTCTGGCTTAAAAAAATCACAGCATCAAAAAATAAAATCTGGTTAGTAGAGAAGGACTTGAGGAAGACGGTTTCGGTTTCACGTTGCACCATATCACAGACTGTCTTGGATGAATACTCAATGCATTTACCAGCTCAGCGATTGTGGATGAAAAGAGCTGAAGTTTAAAGCCAAAATTTGCTTCCGGCCATCGAAACTGATTTAATTGGCGCAGCGCAACCCGTTTTTTAAGTACGTGAAAGGTTCACCGGAAAGACCTAATGCAGTAGTCCGTAGTACGCGGAATTTCGCACCGTGCACAGAAGGATTCACTTTCATCAGCTTAGAATAGATCATTGATCCATTGGCAGAGAATCATCCGGCTTTGATAATGCCGGTTAAAGTTATATGGTCTTCGCTGCATAGTATTTTAGTAATGTAATATCCTCGAACCGATTTGCTGAGCTGGCTCAACTGAGAAGAAAATACTTACTTTGCAGTCAAGCTTGCTCTATACTAATTTCTGATCTGCTCCTGAAAATAAGGAGCACGTATGGACGATAGCCAAGCAGTGCCACAGACAGTGGGTGCAAATCAGAAGCTTTACTTAACTTTCGGATCAGGCGATCATGCCGCACATTCACTCCTTTGAGGATGGAGGCATTAACAAAAAAAATCTTTTAAAAAAATGGCTAATTGCAATTTACGGAAAATCGCATGGCACACTGCAATGTTCCCTGCTTATCCTAATAGCATGAACAAACAAACTGATTACGTTAGACAACTTAGATGCTGTTAATTAAATGCTAAGGATGCGTATGAAAGGATTTATGCGTCTTTATTTCGATAATTAGCATTCGGCTAGTGGAGTGAGAGAGTGCTCTGTAAACCTTCCACTGCCGTGCTTAAAAGCATAACTTATACCTTTTCAGACTGGAACTACATGCCAAGTTGTTTCTAATATATTTCTGATACTACATTCTTTCTGACATTCTAATAATTACTGGAAGACGGTGTCCAGCATGCCATGGTCAAGCCAGATCAACAGATCTTTGAAAAATTCAACTTTTCTTTAGCTTCCCAATCTTTGACGCAATTACAAGTTTCTGCAGGTTCTACAATCGCTGTTGGAGAAAGTTTGTTCAGTAAAGCAATATCTTTTTTGTTTCGATATATCTGAAGTCAAACAAATCACAAATTTTGTCAATTTAAATTCGTAATTTTTTTTCTAGGAAATCGGATTCCCCTTGACGGCCAGACAAAGACTTTAAACAGATCAACTGACTTATTATCACTGATATCAATATATCACCATA